CACGATCTTCAGAAATCATTCTAATATGCTGATTTATTATCAATGCTGGAAACTGTTTTTGCTGCTTCATAGTATTTTTTATGTTTATTTATTTATTTAGAATCTGTGATATCTGTGATACTTTTTCCAGGATAGAATCCTGAAAAAAAAAAAAAGTTCAAAAGAACAGCTTTTATTTGAAATAGAAATATTTTGTAAAATTTTTACTGTCAATTTTATCTCATTTAATGCATAATAAAAGTATTAATTTCTTAAAAATAAAACCTTACTGACCTCTTACTCACACTTTTGAATGGCAGTCTACAGTCTATTTTTTAGATGCCCTCGAGATAAAAATAATACTAATAAAATGTTTTCAGCATGATTTTAAAATAAATCACATGGTGAAGAACTCCATTACCCATGATCCTGAAAGGACACTGACCAGTCAGAGAAGTAACCATGGAAACAGGAATAGTGACTGCCCACTCCCACAAAGCATTGCAAATGACATAATCAAGTCTCAAATATCTTTTGCAATAATATTTTCGTAAATAAAATTTCCATAAAAAATTTTTTTTTGTTTTCTTTTTTTGGCTTCAAATCAAATTGTAATATTGTGAATCATCTCAGAGCTGACCATGATTCATGGCTTGGAATCTTTTTTAAAACTGTTCTGAAATGCCTGTGGAGAAAACAAACAGGAAAAAAACTTCCGGAATCAAGGCTGATCAAAGAGTGGGCAGTCACTGTTGCGCTCCTTTCTCACTTCCAAAAGTTCTTCTGAATTATTTGTTTGAATCATTTGACTCTTACCGATTCTGAGCTGGAAGTTGTTAAACGAATGTTTGTTGATCTCCTGAATGCTTTCATTCAGAGCAATGGCAAAATCAGCCAGTGCGCACAGATGTCCCCATTTATCCTCACATTGCTATGGTAACACAAACATATAGAAAGATTAATGCACAAACTAAACTACAGACACTACAGGCTTATAAGACATCCAGTAATATCTGCTTTAGTATGCATTAGTGTGTAGGTTTCTGTAGGTGTGTGTGTGTGTTTTCATACTTGTTTCTCAGGAGACAGTCCTGACACGGCCATGTATGTGCTGCCGATGGTCTTTATCTTCTCGATGTCCTGAAATCGCTCCTCCCCCAGCAGCTGCAGAGAGACAATCTTTCAGATATGACAGCCTACATATGTAGCATTAAACATTCAACAGCAGCTTCTGAGCAGGTGTGATGGATCTGTGTGTCTTAGAGAGAATCATTAATATTAAAGGGATAGCTCAGCCTAAACTGACAGTTCTGTCATTATTTACTTTCCTTCATTTCATTACAAACCTGTACACAGTAATTTTGGTCATTGAATATGTTTGGATAAACATGGGGGGTTATTGGTGAACTATGCCTTTAAATAAGTGCATGTTTGTGCTGGTAGAATTCTGACCTCATCAAAATCAGCAATGATCTCGTTGAGCAGCCGCAAACACTCCACACCCTGATTATTCATCTCAGTCTGCGAGTAAAAGTCAGCAAAGCCCGGAATGGAGGCGAACATCACTCCCACCGTGTCATATGACTGTGAGTAGAGCTCCTACGGATGGAGATCACACCTTAGAAACCTCCTCAACTTCAGTTTTTTTCTTCCATTTGACACAAATGAGCTTTAAAACGACAGATGTGAATACATATAGAAATGTGGGTCCAATTGAACTTCAGAACAATAATACAGTGTGCGTGGTATATGCAGCATGGGGTGACTTTTTAAAACTCTCCACTAGAGGGCAGTGTTGCTTTATAACAAACACACTTGATTGACTCATAAGAACAGAAGTGCAGAACAGATGTATCTGATAAGGCTGATATCTGATATATAATGCCAATAAAACACATACACCATACAAAAAACATGGTTTACTCATATTTTGTTATAAATTGTGCAATACAGTGTTTTATATATATATATATATATATATACATATACAGTTGTGCTCAATATATTGTAAATATGATCAAAGTAAATTGTGCAATACAGTGTTATATATATATATATATATATATATATATA